AAGGTGTTTGAAAAGATTACATTTACTAGATTTTTATCATTTTTGCGACGATGTAAACGCAATAGAAGTTTTTGCTACCTCCACGATTTTGTTTACTTTTAAACTAGCATTTCTTGTCCTATTCTGTCTAGTGTTCGGAATGTTTTCGATAAATATCTCTAATCCTGTTATTTTTCCCCAAAGAATAATTCCGATGTTTTCTGAAGAAAAAAGGTAGAGAAAGGTAAATCACCCATCGACCGACAACTCTATGTCAGCTACTTAAACCTTGCGGTTTCCCATAGGACTATTTGGCCAGATTAGCCCCGGTAAGTGTGTTCTAATCCTGTTAAAATGTTTGCCAACAGGGAGGCTGGGAGCACATTCGAATCGTGCCTCCTCTTGTGCCGATCTACACGATGTACGTTTATATTTGCACAGCTTGGTCAAACATTGGAGTGTGCCTTTTAGTAACCCCGACGCCTCCGGCAGGACAAAAAGAGGGCGCAACGTTATAGGGATTATATTTAACGTGCACTGAACGGGATTTATTGTGATCGTTTGGTTCTCTGATCGGCGGTGTCTTCGAACGATCCTGCAATTCACGTTGCATCTATAATTTCAACAAATAAGGTTCGTCTAATGACCATTGCTCCCTACTAATTGAAAAGAAAGCAATATTTTCAGAAAGCTTTCAATTAAAAATAAATATAATTTTACTTTCATATGACAGGTTACCATGACGATCTTTAACTTGTGAGAACAATAGAATTTTTTAAGGATAGCTGTGCATATTTTTTGATAGTATACTTCGTTATGTTGCATTTACAATTTTAATACACAAGGATCATCTAATGACCATTGTTCCTTACGAATCGCAAGGATAACAGTGGTTTTAGACACTTGAAAAATAATTAATTAGAAACAACAACGATTTTACTGGTAGAAATAAAATATTTCTATAACGATCTCTATTTCGTAACGACGCTAGAATTTTTTAACAATAGTTATATGTGACTTGTATTAATATTGGGACACTTTTTAAAGCAGGATAACTTTTTTCCATTTTAACGAAATGTTTTGAATTTTTACGAGATGTTAAAGCAAGTGGATATTAGAAAAACTTGAATTTATCATTTAATTCGTGTTCGATTCTCAACAAAATGCTCGAAGCACACAATCCAGCACGTTTCTCCCGTTTTACTAGTCCCTGGGACAACAATGCACGTACATAATAATAAGATTGGTAACCAACCGGTGGGTCTATATTCAAACGCTTCTCTCCACAGATCAATCGCGTCGATTCCCCCGTTTCCCGTGAACGTGTGTCGTAAGTGTTCACAGTCTCGTTAATTTATCCATCATAGAGCGCGATACGAGCAAGAAATTACGTGGCGTACGTAACAACGAGACGATGTGTCATAATAAAATTCTCGGCTTCGTGTCAGCCAGAAAGGCCAATGGCATTATGCTGATTCCATTATGCTGTATTATTGTCGGTCACCCCGAAGAAGATGACTGATGACACGGGGCATTCGTACAATAGTCGAATGGACGTTTTCGCAGCCGTGCGATCTTCCGTCCGAAAATCATCGAACTGAACCAAAAAAATATATACAATACATACAAACATACACACGCACACATATGTGCATGTATAGGAGAATGGATCGTTTCGATCGATTGTGAAAAGAGAATCGAAAAGGGGGACCACGAAGTGGGCGGCATAATTCGATCGTTTCCCAAAATTTGGAAAAAAACTGCTAGGGCACCGTAGGGGTGTGAACGATAGATTGATTTTTTTCATTGACTTTTACCGGCGCTTTTTTTCAGACAAAATGGGGTAAAATCTGCTCACACCCAGCCGAGCTCATTGTTGCCGACCTGACGCGACCGCCATTATTAGCTCGCCTATCCGTGAACGTCCAGCATCCCGCAAATGCGCCAGACTAACCGACTTCTGTTACAAATGGTGCTATATTGAGAACAGCTCGATGTACAATCGAAACTTATGGAGTATGTATAATTAATATGCTATTGAAATAACTATGTAGTTTGTTGCATGAATTTTTGATCGCCTCTGTTTGCTCGCCTCCGGCTTGATCGACTATGAACGCATCTCTTTAACATGTTATTATTTTTTTTAATAATTGGAACAATTTCTACTGCGACCTTTTTCAGCAAATCTTTTTAATCCTGTTAATCATTGAATTATGTGTTGTATTTTTTGTAGGTACATTTTCTAAGTGCTGAATATATTTTGTACTTCGCACAAATTGGTACAAAGACACCCCTTGAGCAGTTGTCTCTATGAAATTCTATAACGCTTCAAATCGAGAACATTAAGACTCGAACGCGATGCTCTCTTGCACGTAACCAATGAAATAACATATCGAGACCTAAAAATGTTTACAAACAAAAAAGAAATTGCAACGAACGATTGAGTCAACATACTAATCCACCCTATAATCCAACTATAAGGTCTAATTCATCAGACCCTATATATAGATCGACTCACATACGCAGACTTGAAAAGCACTATACAATAGATTTAAACAATAGATTCAAATAGCAGAAAAATCTCATACGTTACCTGAACGCACACGTTACCTTACACTATAAAATGGAGCCCAATGTCATAGCTTCACGTCATCACAGTTACTGAAAATTCTACTGGAGAATTGATTGCAATATTCTACGAAATATAACATAAGAAAAACATTTCATTGTATAATTTGACTAGTAGTTGAGCAGTTATGTCGCTCTAGTCAATCTATGTTACACTATTCCGCATTATGAATTAGTGCATACACTACCTGAACTTATATGTACATAAGCAGGTGGTCCGTTTCTAAGTCCCATTGTCAAGAGACAAAATTCTGTTTATTCTTTTCGGATCAATTTTAACTACTCTTTACACCATTAATTAACACCATCCAATATGAGAAAAATGCTTGTTATTTAGTGTAACTCGAATCATAATATGTCCTAATAATCGCAAAATTGTTAATTTTGTATATTTTCCCTGCATACTAGCATATTTCTCGTGCATATTGGAATATTTTTCGTGCATGTTAGCATATTGTTTGTCCATATTAGCATATCTTTCGTGCATAAATAGCATATGTTCTTCACATATTTATGATGCACGAACATCCGGGGTTTAGTAATCATATACGTAAACTAGAAAAACAGTTTTCACCTGAAGTGCATATAAACGTACAAGATTGAGCTGCATCGGTCGCCGACAAGAGGTAAACCGACACCAGACAATAATTAAGACCAGGAAAAGCCACTGAACAATAATCGTGTAGACAAAGTCGACCGACCATTATCACCGGTAAAATAAAACTGCGGCGGGGGACCTTTTCGTGGTCCTAGAACCTTCGATTGTCCCCGGGGACCCTTGTAACGCTTGTTGTCGTACAGCGTTGTCGGTCGGGGCATGAAAGAAGAAAACTCGAAATTTTCCGTCATAGGTGCGCTGCTTTGGGGAACGAGGAGCGGGGGTGTTAATACGCCGGCGTTTGTTGGAGGAGAAAGGGAAGGTGGTGGCGTCTGCTCGGCGAAGAGGCGACGAGAGAAGAGGGTCGTCGAGAGGGTGAGCGCCGAAAGAGGACGAGAGTGAGAGAGGGGTGTGTCTCAACGCCTGGCCGCGACATCACCAATTAGTCACCGACGCTTAAAAACAACGGGGCCGCTCCACCTACCTTGCGAGAGCGTGCGAGAGCCTGCATCCGCGAGGAACCGCATTTTATCCCGGCCAAATGGAGTGACTTACTTGCATAGACCGGTGACTTGCATAGCTCCGGTCCACCCCTCTCGCAGCACCACCCCTCCATTAACCGTCCGGCTGCCTAACCGACTGTACTACACGGCCGCAGATATCACTTAATTGGATCACATTATCGAGAGATCCCATCCGAACCTGTTAACCCGACAGAATGCCGTTTTTATTACACTGTATCGTCCTGGAACTGTTATATCGATGTGCTTTACTATATCGGCGGTTTCCAATTTCCAATTTAAATTTTAACGGTTAACTGAACTCCATCCTGAACTAGATCCTATGAAACTTCTGCATTCGAGTGCCCGCTCTGTGGTACCATTAAAAATTGCCATAGCATGATACACGCAATATTTATATTCCTAAATTTGTTTGTATTTAATCCTTAATTACCATTGCCGGTCTGTAAGGCTGTTACTAATTACTTATTCATCTGTGCTGATAATACAATCGTAGGAATAATTGTAAAAAAAGGAACGTTTTTAATACACTTGCTTCTATCCAACTTAGACTCCTTCGTTATCGGTGTGTAAAGTAAGAACAATTGATTCAAGTAAAAATGGTAAATAAATATTTTTACGTGATAGTGGTTACGTAAGTTTTAATAAGGATTAACACGTTCCGTGCCACGTGTACCATTGATGGTACACGCTTGCATGTTTACTTAGTGAACTGAACAAATTGTTTACAAGAAATTTAGAACCGAAGAATCAATTTCCACCGCAAGAATGGGCGTTGATAATTTTTTGTTACGTTGTTATGTGTACGAGAATTAATAATTGCACGTAATACATCAAGTTTTAGTAAAATATCAAAGTGTGAAGATTCGAGTAAAAAAAGCTCGGCACGGAACGTGTTAATGGGGTTAATGCATTGTTAGAAATTTAAATATGGTATAGGTAAACGGCGAAAATTGGTGTAGAAAATATTTGTAAATATTATATCCACCAGCTAAAATGTTATTACTATTATTGTGCTGAAAATGTTGCTAAAGTCCTAACAGCCGCCAAGCTGCTATTTCAAAGTAATGGAACCAGATGTATCGATATCTGTTTAACGATCAATAACTGCGTTGGCCAAAATATTAATTTATGCAAGAAGCAATATGGCCGTAGAAATTGGATCGAATCGATTTATCTGAAATGGAAACCGATGGAACGTGCCGAATTCCTGTTTTTAAAGGTAGAGAGAGACGATCGCCTTAAGAGTTTGTTCAATTGCATCGCGCCGCGGCGCCGTGACGTGACGTGTGCGCGTGCACACAAACGGTAACGTTACAAGCACATTCTACAGAAAGGCTACGGACACAGAAGCAGTCTTGGACCTTATACAGCAAAGCTATGCCGTGCAACGCGAGTTGGTTGGTTCCATTTGAGTCAGGGTATCGAGGTGTCAATAGCAGCTGCTATGCTACACACAAGACCCCTGACTACGGCACCCCCTTGTTGTATTCACTTCACTTCTTCACCCTTATCTACAGCTCGGACCTGGATACTGGAGGCATATTCATGTCCAGACGGTAAACGAGCTTGAACAGTGACTAGAATTTTTACTTCCCTGTCTCGATATTCGTACAATATAACCGAGTTTACAGTATTTCGCAAGTTAAAGATGCGAATGCAGTATTTCTTAAATAGCGGACCCTTCGGGCTTCTTGAGGTTATACGGGGTGACCACGGAAAATCAGAAGGGTTTGAAAAAGTCATAACTTATTCATTATCAATCTTTTTTATTTTATTTTTCTATAGATAGAGATTAAAATGGCTACGTAGGGCAGTGAAGTCGGTTACTAACGGGTGACCAATTGCTGTGCCTTTGGCTTATTTTCAAGCATATTTAACTTTCTATTTATCGAATGTGGTGGTTATTTGGGGGATGTTGTTTTTCACACATAATACTGAAATATATCCATTAATTATATTTTCAAATAAAATAATAAAAAATTAAAAAAGTATGTGTTTGTGAAAGTTATTTTTAAAGTTATGGTATACGTAATAATCGTGTCGTGAAATAATGATTAATGTTTCATTGCAGTTAAGAGCTAGAATTTCACAGTGTAAGCAATAAATAATCAAATATAGGAAGAGTCAAGATTGAAAATGATCAAAGTTGTTTGAAATCTTCAATATTTGTCAATGATTGTGTTAAGACAGGCATATTTTATTTTCCATTAAAAGTATTGTAATTAGAAATGCTGTAATAGTGTAATTTTCGTCGTTGTTAATGAAGATGGATTTTTAAACCTTTTTGTAATTGAAACTTGAGATCCTAACAATTTATACTGACAAAATAGTTAACTAATTAGTTATGGTAGAACGGTTAAGAACCCCTAAAATATGAAAAAGATATCNGGTACACGCTTGCATGTTTACTTAGTGAACTGAACAAATTGTTTACAAGAAATTTAGAACCGAAGAATCAATTTCCACCGCAAGAATGGGCGTTGATAATTTTTTGTTACGTTGTTATGTGTACGAGAATTAATAATTGCACGTAATACATCAAGTTTTAGTAAAATATCAAAGTGTGAAGATTCGAGTAAAAAAAGCTCGGCACGGAACGTGTTAATGGGGTTAATGCATTGTTAGAAATTTAAATATGGTATAGGTAAACGGCGAAAATTGGTGTAGAAAATATTTGTAAATATTATATCCACCAGCTAAAATGTTATTACTATTATTGTGCTGAAAATGTTGCTAAAGTCCTAACAGCCGCCAAGCTGCTATTTCAAAGTAATGGAACCAGATGTATCGATATCTGTTTAACGATCAATAACTGCGTTGGCCAAAATATTAATTTATGCAAGAAGCAATATGGCCGTAGAAATTGGATCGAATCGATTTATCTGAAATGGAAACCGATGGAACGTGCCGAATTCCTGTTTTTAAAGGTAGAGAGAGACGATCGCCTTAAGAGTTTGTTCAATTGCATCGCGCCGCGGCGCCGTGACGTGACGTGTGCGCGTGCACACAAACGGTAACGTTACAAGCACATTCTACAGAAAGGCTACGGACACAGAAGCAGTCTTGGACCTTATACAGCAAAGCTATGCCGTGCAACGCGAGTTGGTTGGTTCCATTTGAGTCAGGGTATCGAGGTGTCAATAGCAGCTGCTATGCTACACACAAGACCCCTGACTACGGCACCCCCTTGTTGTATTCACTTCACTTCTTCACCCTTATCTACAGCTCGGACCTGGATACTGGAGGCATATTCATGTCC